TAGAAAGTAAATGTTCCCCATTAGCTCCTACCCTGAGCCACTCCACCATGTTCTCCTCTATCTCGCTGTCGGCTGAGATGTCCAGGATGAGCCGACGGGTCAGGTGGGCTTTGTGGTAGCGCATGAAAACATCTTTGTTCTGGACATACTTCAGGACTAAAAGCTGCAGGAAAACCGATAAATACATTTAAATAAACACCGGTTGGAAAGGACTCAGCAGCGACTTTTGGTGTTTGTTGCAGTTTCTTGAGAATTCAAACACGTAGGAATATTTTTCTGAGTTGGCACAAATTTGTTGAGGTTATTGCTCTTTACTTCTTAACGTTCCAATAAAGTCAGAGTTTGCCTGTTTCATGTTCTTCCTGCATGTTCTCTCAAGACTTCCAGAGCAATAACTAACAGTAGATCAATGTCAGATGCAGTAACGCCAGTTTAATAAACTAACAAGAACACTAAACTTACCACTTCCTTGAGTTTGGCCTCGATCTCTTCAGAGGTGAGCTTCTTGCTGAGTGGAGTCTTCCTCAGGAGCATGTCACAGTAGTTGGCTAGCAGCTCTGGACACTTGGACTCAGGCTGAGTTTTCAACCCTACCCTGTAAACGCAGGTGAGGAGAGACGAGTGCAATCAAGCTGTCAGGCTGCTTTTATCATTCGGAGCTGAAGTTCATGCAGGCAGCTCTCTTACCCTTTCTGTTTCATGGGAAGCTCTAATTTAAATATCGTGGCATCATTCACAACCGCTTTATAGGCCTGCAAAGAGGATTGAAAAAAAGTTCTGAGGATATTCTGAGACAGGCATCCTACAGTTACAATGGAACTTAGAAGTGTGACTCACTTTGTCTCTAGCAGTCAGGAAGCGTGGATCATCCTGAAAAGCCTCTTTCACCAGTCGACTGAAGCGGTTGAACAGGGTGAGCAGCTGCTCCACGTATTTCTCTGAGTCCTGCAACAAAGACCCGATGGTGCAACCACTCACTGAGATCAGGATAAAAGTTCAGATTTACATTAACTAAGCTCAAGGTCCACAAACTTACAGTACGTTGAAATTTTATCTACAGGCCTTAAATTTTATAATTTAAGCATTAAAAATCTAAACAATTAAAAAAAGGGCCATAAGGACAATCTGTAATACCAGTTACAAACACGTACAAATGCACTATTCTTAAAATTAAAAACATTTATAAAAGCCCCCCCATCTGGTTCATTTTCACACTGCACGAATTATGTAGAAAGCAATAAACTTACTCCCTGACAACAGCCTTATAGTGTTTCTTAAAAGAGAAAGGACATACACTTTGAGGCCAG